CAAGGCTGCCAGAGCTCCAGGAGGGTTTGGACAATGCTCTGAGGGACAGGGGGGATTGTTGGGGATGGTCCTGTGCAGGGCTGGGGGTTGGATTCAATGATCCCTGTGGGTCCCTTCCAGCCCGGGATATTTTGTGATTCTACACGTCCCCAGCTCTGAGACAACACAAAGATAAGCAAACAAAGCTTTTAAGAGCCCTTCTGGGAACAGAAGAGAGCTCTGAGCTGCCTTTGAGTGGCTGCTTTGTCAGGAGCTGACGGTGTGAACTGACCCCCAGTGCTGGGAGTGAGCAATTCCCGTGTTCTCCTTTTGCAGATCAACAGGCTGGTGATGGATGACAGTGATTTGTACCGGTGCTGTGCTGTCAATGAGTACGGGGAAGCTTCCTGCTCCGTGGGCCTCAGGATCATCCAAGGTGGGGCTGACAGGGCTCCAAAGGTCCCAAACAGTCCTTGGCTGCCCCGGGGTGGGTGTCCCAGGCTCTGTCTGAGCATCCTCAGTGTGAAGGTCTCTTATTCCCCTCCCTGAGGACCGGAGGTCTGTTGGTGGCTCTGTGGCACTGTGGGCTTTGAGGCAAGGGAGAAGGAGGTAGAATTGCGGTCACGGCACTGGATGCAAACCTGTCCCTCTGGGTTTGACTGGGCTCAACCCTTCCTTTGTGTTGCTGAACAAACCAGTCCTTTGGGAGGGGTCCATCCCACTTCAGCTGTGGTCCCCTGCTTCCCTTTAGAGTCAGTGGGGAGAAATGGGCATTTCGTGGGTCAAATACAACTGATGTTCTAGGAATCTGTTTGAGCAGAAGCTGGACTGTGTTGGAAGTGTCCTCTAAAGCAAGTTTAGAGGGCACGTCTCTGCAGTTGGCCACTTCCACCGTGGCTCCCCACCTCCAAAACAAGGTGTTAATGTTTCCTCCCCTTGCTTAAACCATCAAATTCATGGGGCAGAAACGTTCTCCTCCTCTGTGTGGAGCATCCAGGAAGCACAGAGTCCATTGCAATGGAAATACCACATTTATAGATGGAGATTCCTGAGAGTCAATGTCAGACTGACAAAGAAATCCAGACTGGGGTTTCCCCTTACACTGGGAACAGATACTGAAGTTTCATGGGTCATTGGTTTACTGCTGTTTGTTCATCTCATGGCTTGTTTTCCTTCTGTTTTCTCTTATAAACTATCAGTTGGCTTTAAGAGGAAAGCAAAATATGTTCCTGTTCATGCTGCTGATGGTAAGAGAAAAATATATATTATATTATATTGTATTATATATTATATCATATTATATTATATTGTATTATATATTATGTTATATTATGTTGTGTTATGTTATATTATATTATAATATAATATTATATTATATTGTATTATATTATATTATGTTATATTATGTTATATTATATTATATTATAGAGGAGGCATAGTTAATAATACTCTGTCTGCCACATTATTACTATCCCAAATCTGTAAAGACTAAAGTAAAAAAAATATTAATGAATCTCTGATGTTCTCTCATCTCTGCTTGCTCCTTACCTTTGGGTAAAGTGATGATGTTAAACATGGCTTTGAGCTGCTCTAATTAGTGATTGCAGAATCATTAGTGCTAGAGAAGGATTTTGGGATGTCAAATACAGCTGGATCAAACATGTTCATATGGAAAATAGTGGGTTACTGGAGGAAAGCCCCTGAGGGAGAAATGAACATTGTTCAGACTCAAAGGACGAGTCTGGCAGTGAGAACTGACTCCAAGTTTCACGACAGTTTGTAAAGTGTGAGACAAATCCCCAGAGCCCAGCAGGGAGGGCTGTTGTCAGGGGTTGGTTTGCATCATCTTCTCTTTGGGGATGGATTTTACAGTGCTGGGTGTCTGAAGGTTTGTTATTTCCCTCCACCCCTCTAACAGAGCTGAAGAAGACACTCCAGGACTCCAAGAAGCTGCTGAGGAAGAGGTGAGTCTCCACAGTGAGGGCCACTGTCACACTTCTGGAAGCTTGTTGGGGACAGGGGACAGCTTCACAGACCTGCAGGGCAACATCTCTTGTTTCCAAAGTTGTGGTGAGACCTCCCTGTGCAGAGACACCCAGGACAGCTCGGCCCTGCCTGTGAGGCTGAGATAACACAAGGCACCAACCTCCTTTGGGAGGAATGTCCCTCTGCAGATTCTGGCTGGAAAGATGTTCCTCTGCTCTCCCATGTTCAGCCCATGAGTAACTTCCTGGCCAAGGGGCAAATCTTCATGTCCTGGTGGCTCTGGATGATCAGGGTGAGCCCTGGCTCCCTGGCCAGTGTACATGGCACAACCCCTTCCCTTCCCAGCTGGGAACCTCCCAGGATTGCCTGCTGGGAATGATCTCTGGCCTGTGCAGAACTCTGGTTCCAAACTGTGCCAGTGACTCTGCTGATATTGGAACAGTGTTGACAGTTGTTCTCTGTCATCACTTAATTCATGGTGTAGATACAGGAAACCTCTTCTGGAGGAGCCTCCTTCTTTCCTGCCTGCACCTCCAGGGCCCAGTGAACCACAGAAATGATGGAGAGAGATGAAAGAGAATCAAGTATAGAAAAAAAAAATGAGATGTTTTGTTGTCTGTCAAAATGTCTAGATTTTTCTTTTTTCCTCCCCCTGGTTCCAAGGGTTGTAGCACCAAAACCCAAACCCCTGGACAAAGAGGCCGTGTGGCAGCTGCTGCTCCACGCAGACAGGAGAGACTACGAGAAAATCTGCATTAAATATGGAATTGCCGACTTCCGTGGGATGCTGAGGAAGCTGCAGGAGCTGAGGAAGGACACAGAGAGTGAACAAGATGAGGTAAAATAGACTGAAACCACTGATTTTTAACAAACAGCAGAGTCCTCAGTAGCTTCTGGCAACAGGCTAAATCTTCCTAAATTGCTTTGTAGATAAAAATCTTGCTGAATGAGAGAGTGATTTATGACAATGTTTAAAGAAGTCTCATTTTACTCCTGCAGATGAAAATGCTGATGACTCTTTCAAAATCCAGTTCATAGATTTTAGGAGACACTGACCACAGGGAGGTTCAACTGCCTCTGGTGAGAATTTGGACCCCAAACTGAAAAGTTATATGCTCAAGAGTCAAAATTGACCTTGACATACAGGGGCATGTAGAAACCTGCATGGATAGTGTGTGAATGATCAAGAGGCAGCACGTAAAATAGAATTTGTGTGCAGGAGGAAACCGTGGAAGCTCACAAAAACATCTTCTGCACACATAACCTTAGAGGTAGCTCTTTATCTGCAGATAAACAGTAGATTTCACATTAATTCAACAGTTTAGGAACTTCTGTCACAACAGCTTTACCATTAACGAGGTTCTTTGATTTTCCTTTGCAGTTAATTCACAGTATCAAAAACTTGGAACACATCAAAGTCAACAAGGAGGGAAACGCCACGTTCAGCCTGGAGATGGAGCTGAAAAACAAAAACAGCAACGTGTATCTGCTCAAGGTGAGGGGCAGGGGCAGCAGCTCGGGGCAGGTGGGGCAGCTGGTCAGAGCAGCCACTGGAGTCTCCTGCAGAAAACGCTTCATCTGCTGAGCAGTGGGGAGAGCAAATCAAGTTGTCTGTCCTTGGCAGAGGCCTGGGTTAGGGAGGAGTGTTGGTGTGTGCAGTCTTTGGGGGTGAACATCCCCTGGGGTTTGTAAATCCAAGCACAGGGCACACAGTCAGTCACTGACATCCTTGGCAAGAGCTCTGCCAGTGAGAAGAGGTTCATAGAACAGCTGGAGTTGGAAGGGACCTTTAAAAGGCCAACTAGTCCAACCCCCTGCCATGGGCAGGGACACCTTCCACTATCCCACTATCCCAAGCCCTGCCCAACCTGGCCTTGGACACTTCCAGTGATGGGGCAGCCACAGCTTCTCTGGGCAACCTGTGCCAGGGCCTCCCCACCCTCACTGTAAAAATCTGCTTTCTTATATCTGATCTAAATTGCCCCTCCTTTGGTTTAAAACCATCACCCCTTGTCCTAACAGAGTCTTTCAGGCTGCAGAAATCCTGCAGTTTCATATAAATTTTATTCCCTTTCTAAAGTTATTCCACTATAACTCCCTTCCATGAAAGGAAATGTCAAGGCAGTAAAATCTCCCATTTAGATGTGTAGTTCCTCCAATGTGATCCCTGGGTGCTCAGTGCCGTGGATGTGTCTCTGGAAGTTAAATTCCAGTCGAACTGTGGTTAGTGGCTCTAACACAGGGGAAATCAGGATTCATTGGAGAGATCAGACTAACCATGAACTTCTGAATCAAAGGTATGACATGAAGTCTCTGAGCCACAGCGTGGAGAATGTAACCCAGTCGTGTTCCAGAAAGGGAACTCTCCTGCTTCTTCACCTGTGAGGATGCTGAAATCTGAGCAAAGCAAGCACTTTGTCTTTGCAGTTACTGTGACTGTGCATTAGTTAAGCCTCAAACCCTTTTGTGGGCCAGCAAAGAGCTGCTGTTCTGCCCAGTTTGAGGGTCTGGTGCTCTGTTCTGTGCAGGACTTCATGCACAGATGTTGCACAAGCAATGAGCCCTGACCACTGTCAGCAGGAGCAGAGTGGAGACTTCTCTGCAGTTACTCATTTGTATCAACGAGGGGATTGTAGCACCAATTTGCCCTGATTTGTGCTCTGCTCTGGGCTGGCCTCACATGGAATATTGTGGCAGTTTTGGTCACAACAATGTGAGGAAGATATGAAACCAATAGAGAGTGTCCAAAGGAGGGACATGAAGGTGGGGAAGGGCCTTGATTTGAAGCCGTGTGAGGACACTGAGGGCACTTGGTGTGTTCAGCTGGAGCAGAGGAGACTGAGGGGAGACCTCA